CTTCCCTTCCCTTCCCTTCCCTTCCCTTCCCTTCCCTTCCCTCTTTACATTTTTCCCTATTCCAAGCCCCTCACATCTCCCATCCCCATTCTGTCCCTCACCCCCACGCTGCTGCTGTTTACAGAGGAGCTGGGAAGAGCAGGAAAACTTTATTTAGACTAAAAAAATTCCATCAGCCAGCAAGAACAGCCTGGACGGCTCCAAAGCCCCTCCCTCCAGATTGTTCCACCTCCCTCTGGACTGACGGTGCCACGGGGAGTGCTGGGCACTGAAAATGAAGATTTTTCATCCATCTTCAGGTCTCCTGCGAGGAAAACTCCAAACAATGTCCCCTGACGCCTCTTCCGCAGGAATTCTGCGAATGCCATCTCCTGGGCACGAGGCATTGTTCGGGGAGAATCAGAGTCATTGCCTGCCTTGGATTAATTTCCCTCCTTGTTTCGCTTCCGCCTATTAAAGCTGGGAAATGACACAGCACATCCGAGCCCTGCTGACTTCAGCTGCACCTTCCTCCCTGGTCTGACCCCCCTGCACAGCACCAGGCTCGGGGTGCCCAGAGCATCCCTGGGATGGAGCCCCCTCAGCACAGCAAGGACCAGGAGCCTCCTTCTTCCTTCTTTTTGTCTCCTTTTCCTTCCTTTTTCCCTCTGGTTTGGTTCACACGTTGTTTTCCCTCAGGAAAGGTGTGCCTCCCTCGCTGCGCTGTTGTTGTGTTGAATTTTGGCCAAAAAAAATCTTTTCATGATTAAAAAATAAAGACATAAAAGTCGAAATATAAAGCAAAATAGGGATTTGGGGGAATAGGAAGCAAGGTTTTGGGATGGGAGATGGAAAAGCCCCCTTGGTCTGCCTCCTTTCTGTGGCTGTGATGGGTTTGTTCCGTGATGCCAGATGTGAAGAATCAATAAGAAAAAAGGCAAAAAGAAAAAAAAAAAACAAACCAGGAGGAAAACAGCACAGTTTCCTTTTCCATCCAGAAACACAATTCCAGAGCTGCACCTGGGATGCAGGATGCTGCTGGAGGTTCCAGCTGCTCCCAGCCAGGCAGGAGCAGCTGTTTCCCCCTTTGGTGGCACATTTTATCCAGGCCCCTTTCTTTTCATGGATTCCCCAAGTTTTCCCAGTTTTTACAAGTCTTAGACCATCACAGGCAGTTCTGGAGTCATTCCCAGCCCTGAGCCAGCAAATCCCACGCCAAGGGTTTGTCCATTCAACCCCATCTGATAAGCCAGAACCATCCTCAGGGATCCTCCTCGCCCCTTCCCTCCCCATTCCTTTCATCCCAGGATATTTTAACCCTTCCCTGCCCCCCCAGTGCCTCCTGGCTGAGCTGCCGACCCCAGCCCTGCTGGGATTCTTCACAGCCAGTTCAGATTTCTGCTTGGGTTGGGTTTTTTTGAGTTTCGTTGTTATTCTTGAGGAGGAGGGAGAGGAGGGTCTTGTGGGGAGGAGGATTTGAAGAGATTCACTTCCTGCTCAGCATTCCTGGGCATTTAACCCTTTGCCAAACATCTCCCTGCAGATGGGGGAAGCTCCTTCTGCAGAGCACAGGGGGACTGGAACCAGATTTGGGATGTGCTGGAAAAATTCTTCAGTTGGGTTCGCTCTGGTAGAAAAAAAAGGCTGCTTTGGGGAATTTTGGATTACAGTGTATTAGAATCTTTAAATCTACAGAAATCTTTGGTTTAAAATGAACAGGAGATAAGATGAGCTTTGAGGCCACTCCCAACCATGATTCCATGGCCCTGCACCCCAAATGAGAAATCCTCCTGTACTGTGCAAGGCTCATCTTGCTCTTTCCTGGCTTTCTAAACTTCATCTTCAAGAGTGACCAAAATATTGATTTTACAGCTCTTTCTCTTCCTCTTCCCCTTTTCCTTCCTCCTCTGGTCTGCACCCATTTCCACCTGGATCCCTCCCACTCCTCACAGGAGCTCTGCTATCACCTTCTCCCTGGAGTGTTTTTACCCACTATAAAATAAAATAAATCTATGACCATTCATGTTTCCTCCTCCTGATGAAGAAACTGAGGCACGGGAAGGGGAAATGAAGCCAAGACAACAAAAATCCCCCAAGATTTTTACGGGAAGTCGGGAGCCACTCTGGCTCCCCGTCAGCATCTCTGCCTTCTCTCCCTGAGGAATTCGCTATTTATAGCTCCGTTCCGTTAGAACGTAATCAAAACCATCCTCTCTCCATACGAGAACTCATCCAGCGGCACTGACCCTCCCTGGGGGAAAACTTCCCGAGATTTGCGATTCAGCCGCCCGAAAACGCCTCTGCAAGAGGGAAACGGGGAAAGTTCCAGCGCACGGCTCGGGCTCAGCGCTCAGCCCGGGGCTGCTCCGCACAACCCGGGGAGGTTTTCTCATCACCAACGGGTTCCCTCCCACGGTACCGAGGAGCTTTGCTCGGCTCAGCCCCCCCGAGTCATTTCCTGCCTTCTCGGGGACCGAAAGCGCCGCGGAGCAGGAGCGGAGCCGCTCCCGCAGCCGGCACCCAGCGCAGGACGATGAATTTCTGCATCGCGGTGCTCCTGGTCCTTCAGTCCTTGCCGGGTAAATTAAAATTCCACGAGTTTTCCCAGGGTTTTCTAAGGGCAGTTTGATTTCTAGCTCGCTGCTTTGATTATTTGATTATATTATTAATAATGTATTGTTATTGTCCCACACTCCTGGGATGCTGCGGGGCAGTTGTGGGGGGAATCTGGAGGCTGAAAGATCTTGGGGGGATTTTCTTGGAGAAAGGGAAAAAAACCCGATGTAAATTACTGAAAGTTTGATAAAACCTCTGCTTGGAGAACAGTGGGATAGTGAACGTTTCACTCATTGTGTTCAAATCATTTGCAAACCCCAGCTGGGAGCTATTAGGAGACACAGAGAAAAAAACCCCAACAGGATTTCCTGAGAGTTCTGTGGGCACTTTGAGGCGGGGAAGAGCAGAATCAGCGAATTGAGGGTGAAAAACCCCAATCTGGAGCTGCTTAGGGATGAGCACAAAGTTCCCCCATCTCTGGGAAGGTGAGACAGAGCAGCACCAGCTGAGGGGAACTGGAAACTGCAGCTCTTCCCCTTTCTTTTGTATTTTCTCCTTCACCGAAGGAACAGATTGGAACATGGAACACCAGCGAGGGGATTCCCAGCTGGAAACTCTTTTATTCTCTGTTATTCTTGTGGGACTGCAGTGTAAATAAGGAGTGACTTTCTGGGAAAGCTCCTCCAGAGCTCAAGGCTGCTGGAGCCCTGCCAAAGGAGCGTGGGAAGGAGCAGGATGGGGGCCAGGTCCCAATTTCAGCCCAAATTTCCCCAAAAACTCAGAGTGGGAGTGGGACAGGTCGAGGTGTGAGGCTGAGCTGTGTCCCTGCTGCAGAGCTCCAGTCCCAGCCTGGAATGTTCAGCCTCAGGCAGTGTTTTCAGAGAATCCCCTAATGAGGATTTGGGATTTGAGATTTGGGAAGTTTAGATTTTGGGATCTGGGCTTTCCCCCTCAGGCTTTGCCAGTGCTGAGAAAATCAGGGATATGAGAAGGAGAAATGGGAGGGTTTGGAGAGGATCAGGAGCTACAGCTGGGCATGACTGACAGCATCACTCCAGATATTGATGGTGTCACTTAAAATGAAAATATTATTATACAAATTATCTTATTGGTGACTATGATTATCAAACTATAAAAATATCTTATTATTCCATATCTGCCATTCCCATGGGTATCAAAAGATATTAATCTGGGACTATTAAAACATTAATATTCCCAATAAATTTGCTTTAAAAAATCCTCCCAAAATCCCAAGAAAACACACAGAACTTTATGTTTGGAATAGGGAATGAGCCACTCCCTCCAACTGTGACAATGTCACAGGGGTCAGAATTTATTTATGGTGGCTCAGCCCTAAGAAAACATCAGGGTCCCCTGTGAGCCC